TTTTTTTTTTTTTTTTTTTTTTTTTTTTTTTTAAATCATAGGTAAAAAGGAACTCCCGGATTCCAAGTCAGTTGTGGAGAAGTTTCTGCTGAGGAAAAAATTTATTCCAGATCCGCAAGGCACAAATATTATGTTCACATTCTTTGCTCAACACTTCACCCACCAATTCTTTAAGACTGATCACCACAAAGGACCAGCCTTCACAAAAGCCCTTGGGCATGGGGTAAGCTCACAAAGCTTTCACTTGACTTGAACTGAAAACTAATCAGCCTCTATGGTGACAGTAGTATCTTTTTGTGCGTGGGGAGTTTACACAAACATCGTGATACCTGAAACATGATCCAGACAAAACTTCCATTCAGTTCTATGGGGTCAGGATTGCAGGATCAAAGCCTAAATTGATCGATTAAAAATCTCCTTATCTGCACAATCTGTTTTGTAAACATGAGTTCTCACACAAATCCCTTCCGATGTAGTAAGCCTTCCTAGGATGTTTGTGTGTGTGTGTGCTGTTATTTTATTTAATGTTATAGCTGTATCTGTCAGCTATGCAGTATCTGTACAGTACTGTGTGATGTCACGTCTTGCTCTTTTAAGAGGCTTTGCTGATGGAAAGCTCACTGATGAAATGTATAGTATAACTTGACAGGCAAACGTCTAGTGGCACAACTCCTACTGACTTCAACAGGAGTTGGATATGTTCTAAAATAACCAGATTTTTAATTTGACCTCATGTTCCAAATGCTTTTTATTTTATAGGTTGATTTGAACCATGTCTATGGAGAGACTTTGGACAGACAGCTTAAGCTCAGGCTTCGTAAAGATGGGAAGCTAAAGTATCAGGTATGCTATACTTTAAATTTCCAACTGTCCAATAGGAAAGCAAATTAATTTTAGAACTAGCATCTACATTAATAGTATAAAGCCTAAAACTGTCCAATGCAGCCATGATGCCAGAGAGCCCCTATTGGTTCTAGTGAAAACAGCACCCATTTATGCTAAGGCAGTATTTGGTTTGCAGTCTGAAAACTGTAGGACCAATATGTGTTTTGTAATTAGTATTCTTAGCTTTGTTTTTTGTTTGTTTTTTTTTTCTTAATTGTAGATGATTGGTGGAGAAATGTACCCTCCAACAGTGAAGGATACTCAAGCAGAAATGCTATATCCTCCTCATGTTCCTGAGCACCTACAATTCTCTGTAGGACAGGAAGTGTTTGGTCTGGTCCCAGGTTTAATGATGTATGCTACCATATGGCTCAGGGAGCACAACCGGGTCTGTGACATCCTTAAGCAGGAGCATCCAGAATGGGATGATGAACGGTTATTCCAAACTACCAGACTCATATTGATAGGTGAGTAAAAAGAAATAAACTTACTTCACTTTATACAAATGCAGTGCTCAGCTTCAAGGTGCTACTCTTCTAGAAGTGATTTTGGGCATCTCAGTTGACTACTTAAGACACTCTGAAGATATATGATTTCTCAGAGGATGGGTGTCTTGCTAGGCACCCAGACTGTTAGCCAGTAGGCATTAATTTATCCTTTTTCTTTCTTTCTTTTTATTCCTTACAGTATTACACTTACAAAACAGAAAACAATAAACACATTACAATAAGCTAGGAGTTTTTTGTACCTGCCGTCAGCTTCAGCAAATTTGTTAAGAAAAGAAATTTTACTCATATTCTTAAATAAATATCCTGATTCATTGTTCTGAGACTTCTTGGCCTGCTGGCCCAAAAATTTAGCATTTTTCTTTCCCGCCTCTTGGATCTTAGTTCATTTACAATTTAACCTTCATTAAATTTAGGAAGTTCCTGAAAAAATAATGCACAAACACAATAGATAAAAGATGTGTATCAAGTTTCTTTTCCTTTCCATGTTATTGCTGATGCACATCTACTTGGGGAAAAATATGTAGTTCTTACCCAAACTGAGAATGCAAGATGACGCTAAGTTCTGTGCGGTATTATTGGCATATCATCTTTCTGTTAAAGGAAACTGTAGATAAGTATATAAAAATCAGCTTCTAAAAGAGACTTTTTCAGCTTTTTTGTACTTAAATCTCATTGGATTTTTTTAATAAGAAATGACAAAATGTTATGCGGTATTTGCAGCTATCACCTCCCCCCCCCAAAGTATATATATTTTAGAAAAGTGGTTGGCCATTTTTATATTGTCATTTTCATGTCTTCTCAGACTGAAGTCTGAAAATTCAGAATCACTCAGATAAATCAAAGTGATACCAATTTTCTTTAATATTTCATTGAACTTACAGGGGAGACCATCAAGATTGTTATTGAAGACTATGTGCAACACTTGAGTGGCTACCATTTCAAGCTGAAGTTTGACCCTGAGCTTCTGTTTAACCAAAAGTTTCAGTACCAGAACAGAATTGCAGCTGAATTCAACACTCTGTACCACTGGCATCCACTTCTACCTGACACGTTCCAGATACATGACCAGGAATACACATTCCAGCAGTTTCTTTACAACAACTCCATAATGCTGGAGCATGGCCTTTCCCACATGGTGAAATCCTTCTCCAAGCAAATTGCTGGCAGGGTAAATATTCTCCCTTCCTAATTAGTCGATTGACAGTCCTTACATATTCTGTGCAAGTTACTGTAACTCACTGACTTCCAATCATGCTCAGAGGATGGGGAGATTACTTGGGGCAAGGGGTTCTTCTGTGACAAGGAAATATACACAATAATGAAGTGAACTTTGGTTCATCAAAGCTTGTGCTCTATGTATATATCTTCTTTAATTAGTCTGTAAAGGTGCATAGCTACTCTGCCTCCTGACTAACTTCAGACTAACATGGCTAACTACCTCTCTCAACAAGTATACCCATCGTAGCAAGATGCACTTTCTACATCAGATATTCAGTGCAATAGATCATGAGCTGTGCTGTGCTATGGCTATGTTACTCCCACACAGTTAATAAAAATGGTAGCACTAAAAGCACTAGTAACGTGCCAGTTCCTTGTTTAGGGCAATTCCTATTCATGTCAATTAAAATGTTACTGGAGGAAGCCATGCAGGATTCCACCTAAGTTTAAGCAGGCAATACATATTGTGGTGAGTTTTCTTAGTGTTCTTATTCTTTGCATTCTTTGTTTTAATAGGTTGCTGGAGGTAAAAACGTTCCTGCTGCAGTACAGAAAGTTGCCAAGGCATCAATTGACCAAAGCAGACAGATGAGATACCAATCCTTGAATGAATACCGGAAACACTTCCTCATGAAACCCTTTAAATCGTTTGAGGAACTTACAGGTAAGAGCTATTTTCTTTAAGAAACAGAAGATGTCTTTTCTTTCAAATGGCTGATAGAAGGACAGGTTATGATTTCCAAGTGTATATAAACATGAGTTATAATAGGAAGTAGAGTTAAAACAGAGGGTGCTATTTGGAAATGTTACCTTTTACTGTTCTGTTTGTTAATATTTTAGGAGAAAAAGAAATGGCAGCCGAATTGGAAGAGCTTTATGGAGACATTGATGCTATGGAGCTGTATCCTGGTCTGTTAGTGGAAAAGCCCCGTCCAGGAGCCATCTTTGGTGAGACCATGGTAGAGCTTGGAGCACCATTCTCGTTGAAAGGCCTGATGGGAAATGCTATCTGCTCTCCTGAGTACTGGAAGCCTAGCACTTTTGGTGGAAGAGTAGGATTTGAAATAGTCAACACTGCCTCCCTGCAAAAACTCGTCTGCAACAATGTAAAGGGTTGTCCCTTTACAGCTTTTCATGTCCTAAATCCTGAATCCACTGAAGCAGCAACTATTAATGTCAGTACCTCAAACTCAGCAATAGATGATATCAACCCCACATTACTACTGAAAGAAAGATCTGCGGAATTATAGACTATCCACCTATTTATTTATTTAAGTAATTTTGTAAATTATTGTATTTATATCTTTATACAAAACCAACCTAATGCATTTTCTATACTTTGGGTGTCACCCTAGATGAGTTACTCAGGTAAGGGATCCATTGATAAAAGAAAGAACACTGAGCTTTGTGGTATTAGATCCCTTTTTTAATGTCTTCTGTAACAGAACTATGTATTCCAAAATGGATTTAATGAGAACCAAATTTCTACTTTTGTTTTGCTTTAATACTTGACTGTAACTATACTGGGTTTTTTTTTCAATGGGTTCCATAACACTACAATCACAATTTACATTATCAACAGTTATCAAGTTTTAACTTGAAAATTAATTCTCAAGCAAAATATACAAAATAACTTGATCAATGAAAATTGCCAATTTTAGTACTGTTTTTCAGTCCTATCACTAGTAAATTAATGTAAAAAATATTTTAATAGTTAAAAATGGGTTAAAACCTTTAAAATAACTGTTAATTATTTCCTGTAAAGTCAGGAAATGAGAAAGTTAAGTTTCTCACGAATACTACCTCTCAGTCACGGATGCTGTACATGAATGAAGAGCCTTAACTTTCCTTTTTGGCCTTTTTACGTTTAAACTTATGGTTTTACATTCCACTAATAAATATTTAAAAAATCAACATAATTTGTGTTTAGGCCACAGTCCAAGTTTTTTTAACTTGTACTGCATAGGTCAAAGGGATGACTAGCTATTGCTGCTGATTTACTTAAGGGTCATTATTTGCCAAGTTGGTATAACAGGGCATTTGTATTCTGATCGGTGTTTTATAAAAAATAAGAATTTCTTTTGAAAGCTTAAGATATGTAGAAAGAATCAAAAGATTTTGAAAGCCTTTAACAGAGTCTACATTTTTTTCACATTTGCAGTTTTCTAGCCAACGTGGTATCAAGTAATTTTCTTCTATATTTTAGAAAACTGGGTACAATTTCTCATGTAAATCATCTATATATCATTTAAGGACTAAAAGAAACAAAAGTATAGCCTTAACTGTGGATGTATCAACATTATAGACCTAACTAGTGAGTTCATGTACTGATATCATAGTAGTCAGGACAACATAGTGCCCATCAAAAAAGCTTCTGAGAAGTTGGGAAGCCTATTCACATGATTTGCCCACACTCAGCTCTGTGCTGGCCAAGCTATGTTATTACTGCTACCCAAATTTGAAACTAGCTCAAGTATATCACAGTAGTGTACTGAGGCTCCACAGCTTTCACTTACACATTGAAAGCCATGGTAATGTTTTATATAGTATCTTATAAACAAAAGCTTATAATCTGTATTTCAGTCTTAAATAAAATATTGTAGCTAGCACAACAGGTTATGTGTGTGGTACTAATCCAACTCCCACTGAAATCTTTGTAGCCCTGTATGAGAAATAAATCAGAGAAACAAGTTACACAAGATTTCATAGTAGCACTTTAGATTTTACATACAATGTGGTTTGTGTATCTTGTATTTTTTTAAGGAACTGCAGAAAAGTATTTTTTAATAAAGAGAGAAGCAAGGCTTTTTTTTAGTGATATATGTTACTGGATCAACTGCATAGTTGCAAAACCAGTTAGGCCTCGAGGCACAACATGTCCTTTTTCAAGTCTATCATTTTTCTAAGAATGGAAAGAATATAGTTATTCAAGCCATAAAAGGCTGGAACATCAGAATTCTATTTAAATAATTTTTTAAAGCCCAACAATTTTTATAAACATTTTCAATCAGGAATTCATATCTAAAAGATACCTTATGTCAAGGGGAGATGGTATCAAGAAAGTGGTAATGACTATGGCACTGCTACAGTTTAATTGCTTTTTTTTTTAAGTTTCTAGTCACTTTGTTGAATTACACCAATCACATTAAGACTGGTGAAGTCTTCATTTTTGATAACTGAATTGAGAATTTACAAACTAATTTATACAATTGGAAAGGTTCATGCATGTTTGAGGACAAAAGGGAAGAAATTATTATATTTATTTCTTGTTTTTATTATTTTTCCTGTTAAATGTACTGAGTGTACTGTATATTTAAAAATGTTGACTGTTTCAATGTTCAGAAATGTAAATGTTAATAAAACTGAAGCTATTCGGTCATCTGAGAAGTTAAACAGTTCAGAAAATGGATTTTTTAAACTACGCTCTATCTAGATCATAAACTGGAATCTAATCTAGCCTGTAACTATTGGCATTTACTGTGGTAGAGTTTTACGTCCCTCTAAGCTGCTCTATGAAAAGACCATGTTCGTATTCTATTTTGTATGTGTGAGAACACTGTTTTTAAATGAGTCCAGGCTATATGCAGCCTGACCTGCTGGCTATGGTTAGGTTGAGATTCTATGTATAAAATTAGGTTATTTATTTAATATTTTATAACAATGCAATTTTTTTAGGTTTATTTTTATATAGCACGGACATGGTTAAAATTCAATTTTTAAAATAAATCTTTTGAAAATATTACTGGTGTGGACTGATACTCTCTAAAGCAACAAATTATATTTTTTCCTTCACACTATAACACATTATATTATTTTATTTTCCATACCAAGAGCTTTACATGGAAAAAACTATGAAGTTTATTGGTAATTCAAAATTATAGTAATACAAGTTCTAGAGCTTCTAACAACTGGTAATATAAATAATTTAAAACCTAGCATATTATGTGTCAGAAAAATTTGGAACCAAAAATATCAGTTATAATTTCTCAGACATTTCTATCCTGTACACAAGGATAAAGAGTGGAACGAAACAGCAGAACAAGTAGCCTTTCTGAGGGGTCTGGGAAGATATGGCAAAACAAAAAAATATATAAAGGGGTCAGGTGTGGAACAATGGAAAGAGTAAATTCTGGATTGATTTTTATCAAGCATAAATAGTCATCAACACAATTTAAGAATAATGCTTGAACCAAGAAGTAGTCAAAGATGATATCTCAAACTATCATCTACTTCCTTAGTCCAACTGAGATCAGAAGACCTCAAGGTCTAAACATTCCACCAAAGGTGACACTCAACAAGGTAGCCAAGGAACTTGTTCATTCTTACTGGTCTATTCCCCATCTGTCCCTGGGGCTATCTGATGAACTATTATTAAGGTAGAAAGACTGTAACCTTCGGTTTGAAATGTCTTGCTGTGCTAACTCCAATTCAGAACACAATACACAACATCTCTCTCTCTGAGATGAGAACATCCAATTTCAGCAGTCCAGAAATTGCAGTGTTTTTGCATTTACATATTCTGCAACCATGTATGAAAAAGGAACTCGAGCTCCTTCCTCTTTGGAACCAACCTTCAGGTAGTTGAAGGCTGCTATCAAATCCCTTCTCACTCTTCTCTGTAGGCTAAATAAACTCAGTTCCCTCAGCTTCTCAGATACCATGTGCCCTAGCCCCTTAACCATTTCTGTTACCCAATGCTGGACTCTCCAACTTTTTCCAACACATCTCAGTGTGGCTACTTCCACACAGTCACAATAATGTGTGCTTTAAACTAGAACGCTCTCCCTCCCTTTTCAGCCCTAGAAGTCTCAGAAGTACTGGACACGTGGGGAAGCCACATGCCACAGAAAGCTATGGACCCATCTTGGCTGATTCACTGACACCCAGGCCATGACTCTAGAGTGAAGTCAGGCTGGGGCGTGAGTAGAAGACGGCCCTTATCAACACAGCTGTGCTAGCTGAAGCCCACACTGTAGATACAGTCAGAGAAGCAAAGCTGTTTTTGCTTTGATAGTTCATCTTATACCAGAGGAATAAGTTATACCAGCAAGCTATGCCAGTATAAATTGCATACTCCACCTCGATACTGGTACAACTAGCACTACTGTACACTTGGCCTCAGACTCTATTTCCAATGCTTTTAAACATTTTTTTGCTCTGCCTGGTTTTACACAGGTTTAAATCAAGGTAGAGATCCATAGAATCATAGAAAATAAGGGTTGGAAGGGACATCAGGAGGTCATCTAGTCCAACCCCCAGCTCAAAGCAGGACCATCCCCAACTAGATCATTCCTGTCAAGCTGGGCCTTAAAAACCTCCAAGAATGGCGATTCCACCATGTCTCTAGGTAACCTATTCTAGTGCTTTACCACCCACCTAGTGAGAAAGTTTTTCCTAATATCCAACTTAAACCTCCCTTGCTGAAACTTGAAAGCATTGGTCCTTTTCCTATTATCTGTAACCACTAAAGACAGTCTAGCTCCAGACTCTCTGGAACCACATTTCAGGTAAAGGCAGCTACTAAATCCCCCCTCAATCTTCTCTTCTGCAGGCTAAATAAGCCCAGTTCCCCTAGCCTCTCCTCATATGTCATGTGCCCCAGCTCCCTAACCATTTTTGTTGTCTTCTGCTGGACTGTCTCCAACCTGTCCACATCCTTTCTATAGTGGGGACCCAAAACTAGACAATACTCCAGATGTGGCCTCACCAGTGCAGAATAGAAGGGAATA